ATATATTTATACACACACACACACACATATATTTGAAGAAAGTTTTTTTACAAAGTTAAAAATTACAAAAGAAAAAAAAAAGAAAAAAGAGAGAAAGATACGAAAAGAAAAAATAGGTAGAAGAAAAAGGGAGCAACAGCCTAGATCAAGAAAAGAAAAAAGAAATATTGAAAGAAGTGACTTCCGATCGTCTCTGCAGCAATTGCAAACATAGATAATACTGTTTCCACCCCCCCACCCGCCAAATTGTATAACGTGGTTCCCTTCTTCCCATAGACAGCCCATTTTAATCAGTAAACCCAGACACCACCAGTTCATTTTTATCCATTTTCGGCAAAAAGTCCATTGGTTTCCTAAGTAAAATAAAAGTATAATTTTTTTTTTTGAAAAAGAAGTGGAAGCTGGCCCACAACAAAATATTTAAATGTTTGACTTCGCGGACCCCCCGAAAAGGTCTTGGGGACCCCTGGGGACCCCACCCCACCCTTGAGAACCGCTGGCTGAGGTTCTGCAGATGGCCCGAGGGGCAGAACTGTGTTTCTAAGCCACAGTTATGGCTGGGCAGCCGTTGACCAGCCAGCAAAGGTGGCTAATTCAACCAACAATGGTTGGCCACGGCGTTGCGCTCCCGCCTGTTACGGATACTCACAGCTTGAGGACGGCGGACCGCTTCCCAAGCATCAGGGTGACAAAATCGTGGTACGAGATGGTTTCGCTGATACCCCCAGTGACTTCGGATATCATTTTTTTCAGCTCTAAGTGAGTCTTGGGCATCCCCATTTTCTCCATCATCCTTTTCACAGACATTAGATCTGCAAGGAACGACAGCCGGAGACGGGATGCTTAGCGCGTGCAGGTAGGGAAGCTAAATGAAAATCACCTCCCGTGGAATCTACACCTTGACGGAAACAGTGGGGGAAAAATTGTAATTATTTCTAGCTACCTCCTCGTAATCATTACTGTGATTGCTCATATGCCTCCTGAACTAATCATACGACGAAGGGAGAGTTGGCTGGAAAAGGGCATTTTGTTCCTCGAAAGAGGCTCAGAAATGTTGGGTTTGGCGAAGAAACACCTTCAGCCCAACCTACCGATACCTGGATCGGTGTCTTGTCTTGGAAGAACTTGAGACGGGGGGGCTGAAAAAGATGGGGTGATCTCTAGGGAGAAAGCGACCCTACCAGCTAAAAAACCCAGCTGCTTTGCTTTGAAAACTAAGAATAAGCCCATCGCACTCCAGTTTGCAGAAGCTGCTTTTGCAAAAAAATATTGGGGCGGGCCAGTTCCCCAAGCGCCCCTTCGAATCATCAACAGCCCGGTCAGTTTCAACTCATTGAATTGAAGGCCGTGAGATATTTCACGGGTTTCCTTCAAAGCGGGTGGGCCGGGCTGCCGGGTCCCCAAAATGCCAAATCTTCTCGGGGCGCTCAGCGGGAGCAAACCAGCCCCGCGATTCGATTTGAAGGAATAATTGGGCTGAACCGCCTTCAAATCCAAAACTTTGGAATGAAGTTTGGTCCCCGTCTAGCATGCCCCCCACCCCCGGTAACATTTCCAGCTTGATCTCTAGCCCAAATTCAAGTTGTTTTCTCATCTGTGAGGCAGGATCCACCATCTGACCAAATCTGGGTGGATTTTAGGGCGTATCTCACTAGCATTCGACCATCATCTGGTACATTTTATATATATGGCAAATTTTCCCATGTAGGGTACCTGTCTCTTTAATCGTACTGCAATACATCTCCTTGGCATTTTCTATATTTTTTTTTGATTTTTGATTTTTTTCTTCTTCTCTGTATGTCTCTTGGATGTATGTAAACCTAGTCACCCGATATCGTTTGGTAAAAACTAATACAAATGTATCGTAATACATTCACACATTAAATAAAGTTGCTTATGTGGAACAAAAGCAAAAAATAACGTGGCTTGTCACTGCCTCCTCGTGGGACGTTTTCTCAACATCCCGGTCTAGGCTCCGCCCCTAAGATTTCCTAGTGGTCTCCCGTCCCAATATTAGGAGCTGGTCTCAGCCCAGTTAGCCGAGCTCCATTCTGCCATTTAGCTGGGCAATATCCATTTCTCGTTCTTATCTCCCAGCCAAGGTGCCTCAACCCAGAGCTGGTTGTGAACTTAAAGGCCGTCTTGCAAAAAGCCGTGTGATTTGCACTTTTCAAGCGGGGTCAGTTGGCCGCAGGAGCGTCTCACCGATTTCGCCTTGATTATTCAGGTCGAACTCCATGTATTTTTCTAGAAAAGATAAGCAAACGTTAGCAGCGTCCCGACTCACCCCCTTCAAGCCCCAAGAAGCCTAGGACGATGGTCGGGAAGACCTCACCCCTTTTCCCGCATCACGGAGGGATCCCACATCCGAGAGGCTCTTTCGAATGGTTTAACCCGGCCACGAGAATCCCAGGGTCTTCCCGATCAAAAAAGCTACTACGGAAGCAGAGCAATGAAGGATTAAGTGTGGGGCTGGATGCTGGCACCAGCAGTGCCCGGT